ATGTTTGTGCACGTCTTGCTGCTGGATAGCGAAATGCTGTACTCCACTTTTTCGATGACTCCATTGTCCGGTAATCATTTGGAACTTTTACGCGATGGATCGAACATTCGTATCCAGATTCGAGCTTTAATTTGCAATGGGCACGCGACGATTGAGCGAATTCACTTGGATGATGATTCACGATGAGAAAAAAGAAAAAATTAATAATAATAAAACAGAGTTGTTTCCTCGATCCAACAAATAATAAAAGTTGGTAATTTTACTGAAACGTATCAGGCGTTTGTTTATTATTTTTATGTCACGGTAACTTTCCTGATGATGTTCTCCCCGAAATTGTACTTGAATGAACTTTCAGAATGACTTTCTTTGGCAAATTAAGCGAAAGTGCACTTTTAGGGGGGCAATAACATTACGCGCGAGAGAATGTAATCGTGGCGTGCGAAACGGCTCTCTGTAGCGCTTTAAAGTAGTTCACGAGACATTGAGTGCGGGCAAAAAAAAGGATCATNATGTATTGACTAATTTTGCATTCGTATACAAGCGATACATTATAATTTAAACTATTAAAATTAACCCTCAAATGCTTAATAAGGTATTTGCAGTAAAATTACTTGAAGGTATATCAATAGTATTAGCAAAAATAAAACCCTAAATCATTAATTTATTGATGATTAGCCAAAACTGCAAAATTTTGAAATCGGCGATGAGTTTTGTCTTGATGAACAGTTTAAAATTTGTTATTAAATCAGGAAAATATACAAGGAAAAATGGGAAATAAATCTCAAAAAACTATGCAACTGAGGGTTAATAATGTATGAAGTAGGGGCACATGATAATTAGTTGTCTAGAAAAATGGTAGGAATTCAAAATCTCTAACAATAATCGGTTGTAATGATTGATTTGAGTGTAAAATGAGAAAGTTTGTTCTTGACAAAACATTTTCTACCTGAGAGAGTCAGATAGAGATCATATATGGTCCCTCGTCTTACAGGTGGCAAACGTTTGCTGCGCTGGCTGTTCAAAGCTATGGCAACATCGGCTTCCAAATAACGCCATTGCTATAATGTTTTCTTTGTTAGAGTGGATTTTTCTTAATTACCCCATATTCATTGGGATTTGACATTGGCTCGACCCCCACTACGGACCGGAGGTAAACGACTGATACAGGATATTTTTGTAAGCTGCAATTTAGTTGTACCTAAATTTAACCAACGAATTAAAGTACTAGAATTTGTATCCATTCAATTCTAAACAAACAATTTCTAATGTAAATAATGTTGAATATTACAAAAAAACTATAATACTAGTGAATTAGAATCACAACTTATAAGTGAACATACCGTTTTTAAAAATCGCTACTGGAGTATTATAAATTAAAAATGTGGCTTGAAATTTTGAAATTGTACCATGACGAATTGTTGCACTCCCCCAAAAAATTTTCATTATCTTAAGGTTTTAATGAATTTTTTTTTAAATTTTTGTATGTATTGAATAAAAATTTTATTTTTTTTAAATTATTGTCAATAATACTCTAATCTCAAGATATGACTAAATACATGTGTACATTTAAATTCATATAAATACACGCATATGTACAAGTACGAGCTATTTATATTACATCGAAGTAGTGTTATAAAATTGTCACTTAATGAACTGTGTCCCAGTGATTTAGAAAAAAACCCTTGTTAAAAAGTTTCATCCAGTGACAAGCTAAAGGGATTTCAATTTCAAAGCATACTTATATCGAAGCCCAAGAAAAAGATATTTATAAAAAGGTACAAGTAGTAGGGTTATTTTACAGATAGGGGGTCTTGTAAGTAATATGTACAATACAAAAAGAAATGTGTGATGTACTTTGCCGCGTTGCATCATGTGCTCCTTTAATTTAAACTTTGTAAAATTATATACTTTGTGTTATCGAGCTATCACATATCATAAAGTCCGCGCGAGCAGTTTGTGCTACTTTGCCGCAATAAAAAAAAAAAAATTTGAGCTTGCATTTTAATTTTCCAAGCATGTATAATTGCATGAAATCTAGATATACTATTGAGATTTAACGTTTTTCCATTGCACGAGTAAAAAACTTCTTACTTTTGACAATGTATCGTTGGTACATCTCGCGTTTACTATCGTAAGATTACGTGTAACGCTCCGTTTGCGTGATTTCAGACGCAGTTATCGCTGGCCGATTCGACCCCGCCGTGAGACCGAATCCAGGTCAAGCAAGCGTCTACCATGACTTCGGGGTTGTTAACTGAGGATCAACGACCCGCGCGTGTGTGACGTCGGTCGGTAAGGCGGTAGTTTTGCGGAAGGGATGATTTTGATACATGGTGGTACAGGGGTGCAAGCGTCGGTAGGTAATGCAGGGGGGATGAAGCGACCGGTCGGTAACCAACCCCCTGTACGTACAGTAAAAAAGGGGCTGATAAGGTGGTGCGTGGCTGTTGGCGCGATGGAGTGGAACTTGGCGACCTTGCAGGTAGAGGTCGGTGAGAGTTTGATTTTCGCGCTTTTTTTGCTATACGACAAATTCAAGGTGATGTAAAGTTTACTTTTTCCGGTTCGTAAAATTGAGTGAATAAAATTATTGACCATTACCGGTGATGAGAGATGATTGACACCCACGGTGTGTTACATAGTGTTTACATATTGAAATCAAATGTACGTTTTGTGATATTTTTTTAAATTTCAAGTTGAAATTAATAAATAAATAAAGCAAATATTCATTTTAAGCTTACTCTTAGACACGTGGTACAAATGACAAGGTAAATTTTTAACTACATAGATAAAGAAACGTATGATTGATATTGTACTCGCATTGTCAGGTTATTGAAATAAGCTTTTAATGTATTTGTAGTTTAAAAAATCAAAGTATTGTCGTGGATCAAGAAAAATTCGTTAAGAGACAAAATGTTTCCTATTCAGGTAAAATTTTTTGTACAGCACGTGTTACTTGAACCATTCAGCAATCACGGAAAATAAATGAAATTGTTACATAAAAAGGTGCCCAAAAAAAATTTTGCCAAATCACGTGTAAAAACACATCGTTGTGTAATATATAAAAAAAAAAAACTTTGCGTACATCGTTTGTCAAGAGAACATTGTGGTAACCACTCGTGCGAATGTGGTTAGCGTACCCACTGGGACGCACGAGACGAAAAAAAAAAAAAAAATCCAGACAAAATCGAAAGCTCGTGCTCACCAATAGACACTGGGCACAAGATCGGATGGCATGCGCACACACACACACACATGAACACACGAGAGCAAACATATCCCCGTATGCACGCAGTTCTATTTGCGGTTGACGTTTGTCAGAGCCATTGTCAGGGCTGTATGTGGCGAGGCGCGACGTTACATACGTATATACGCCAAAATTACCAACGAGCAGAGAGCAAGAGGGCACATAATCGACGACACGCTAATTAGAGTCCCTCCCTGTAATTCGTTCGTATACGCAAATTCTCCCTCGTCCGCTTAGTCACTCGCGAAAACGCGACAATCGTAATTGCAACAAACAACAACAGCCGCGTTTCGCTTTGAATACAAATAATGCGCGCAACTAGCGAGCGAGCGAGTAATGCGTCAGCAGCAGACCGGCACAGAGAACAACTCGGCAAACGTTTGCGGTTCGGGTAATCTTGTAGATAAACTGAAAATCGACACGTGTACAAATATCAATACGTTGGAAATGTTTGGAAAGTTATGGATATAAATACATGCATGTGTATATACGTGTGCGAATATATAAATATAAATGGGATATCGTTTCGAGTCCGCCACTCGCTCTGTTTGTCGAAAAAAACAATGTTTGTGCACGTCTTGCTGCTGGATAGCGAAATGCTGTACTCCACTTTTTCGATGACTCCATTGTCCGGTAATCATTTGGAACTTTTACGCGATGGATCGAACATTCGTATCCAGATTCGAGCTTTAATTTGCAATGGGCACGCGACGATTGAGCGAATTCACTTGGATGATGATTCACGATGAGAAAAAAGAAAAAATTAATAATAATAAAACAGAGTTGTTTCCTCGATCCAACAAATAATAAAAGTTGGTAATTTTACTGAAACGTATCAGGCGTTTGTTTATTATTTTTATGTCACGGTAACTTTCCTGATGATGTTCTCCCCGAAATTGTACTTGAATGAACTTTCAGAATGACTTTCTTTGGCAAATTAAGCGAAAGTGCACTTTTAGGGGGGCAATAACATTACGCGCGAGAGAATGTAATCGTGGCGTGCGAAACGGCTCTCTGTAGCGCTTTAAAGTAGTTCACGAGACATTGAGTGCGGGCAAAAAAAAGGATCATAAAAAAAAAAAAAAGACAAGTGGAGGAGGAAGCCCTTGAAATACATGCGGGAATATTTGCGTTTTTTTTTTTTTTTTTTTTTTTTAATAATGATACTGAATATAAGTGAGCCGGTGAATACGGGCACACGCGAGAAACGCGCGTTCAACGAGTAGTTTGCGGTTCAAAAAGTGCTCTCCTGCATCTCGCGCTTTAACGTGACCAGCAATGAGAAAAAAAATTATACGCATGGACACTTTCACCCTCTCTCGGATTATTTTTTTGTCCGAGTTTTTGTGTACGTGCTGATTTACGTGAAATTAATTGTTCAACTACTCAGCATTAATTCGCGTTTGAGAGTATTACGTTCATGCAAAACGTTACTGGATTTTTAAAAAAAGTGTAGCGAGATAAAAGTTGGTGCACCTTGTGAGATTAAAATTTTTACGAGGGTGCTCTTACTGCTGGAGTAAATTTAAGGATATGAACATTGAATGCGAGAGCAAAATTAATTTTTACACATTTTACAAGTAATGGGAGCATAATGGTTCATTTACTTTTGGGTCATGGTATACTTATTTTCCGAGCAAAAATAATTAATGGAGAGCAAAGAATAAATCTGGTGTATTTTCATTATTTTTATAATCATGATATGCGTATATAGTATTTTTATGTAATGGTATCTGGCCATTTGTGTACATACCTGTAAAAATTTGTATCAATCCCTCAATTGAACCCAGCAGCACCTGCAACACAAATAAATTGGTCAGATATCGTTGTAAAACTAATAGCGGATCAATTAATTGAACAATTTGGAAAATTTTTTTTCATTTGTTTGTCAGTAATCCTGTACACGTGAGATAAAAAAATTATTCAGATTTCTCGTAAAAAAATGTTTACTTACGAGTAAGTGGATAATTAATTGTAATAAGTAGTATTCTCGACTAGTTGAATATTTGCTACGGTGCTTTCAAGCATGACTAATACTCATTACAACTGCCAAAGAAACAAATTTTCGATTGTAATAAATTTTTCATGCTAAAAAATATTATCAGTACTAAAATACTTGAATTTTACTTTTATTACAAGCGTTGATTTTAATTTCAATTAGACCTCTGGAGAATAAGAATGAATCAACATTGTGTTCTCACAAACAAAATCGGAGCAATATCCAAAATTTGTACACGTCATGGATCATTGACGTTTGAGAAACGTAAACAAAGGTGAAGGTGTTGAAATATCTCGTCAAGCATTTCCCAGCACAGAGTACAGGATATAAAATCCAAATTATGGGCCCCATCATCCACACAAAATGAACCAAACAGTAATATATATTAATACAGCAGTACATATTAATGCAGTCTCAATAAGAGACACACACCGTGCAAGATATAGGTATATCATAAAGTGTGGCACTACATGGCAGTGTGACGAGAGTGTGGGAGAGAAAGTGAGTAAGGTAGGTATGTAGCAAATAAATACAGATCGGGTAAAAGGAAAAGGCGTAGGTTAGCCGTGGCCAGCCTTCACGTTGTTGCATCCCAACACCCACGAAACAACTCGTGGACGCGGTATACTTACAGGTATACGGAAGAAAAAACAAGGAGGAGGATGGATGAGGATGTATAAAAGCGGGGGTGTGTTAACGAGCCGCGTGCTCCTCACGTCGTACACTATAATATAAGTGTATACAGCGGAATATAGTCGTCGTTCGTCGCGACGACGCTTTTCGATCGGCGAGACAGCTCCACCACGGAAAACGTAACCATGGCAACCCTCTCTCTCTCTCTCTCTCTCTCTGTCTCACCGTGTGCTCTCCGTGTCGTCTCCGTGCATGCACGTCTAACACCACCAGAGATTAAGAACCTTTTTTTTCCCTCTTACACCCTCGTCCACCGTCCGTTTTTCCCATTCGACTGCAATGTGTAAGTACATAATATACAGGGTACCCAATACAGCACACGATTTCCCAATTAGCAGCAGCCGAGCACAGCATCACGCACAATAATGACAAGGGAGCAGACACCTTTTGATTTGGCCATAACAAAAACATGCTCCCTCTCAAACAGGTATTAAACCACAATATATAAATATAATTCATTCACTCTGTTTTCACGTCACGTACACACACACACACACACACACATGTATTAGTATAAACAAAGGCATCAGCAGCATAATGAAATGTAGGAGCTGCTTGGAGAAGACGGTGCAATTAAAAACATGCACAGCACTCACATCCGCAGCTGCAGCGGTATAACTCTCTGTGTATGTCGACACAGTCGGTCGGAGGCACTGCTTCCTCTCGACTGGCGGTTCGTGTTGCTCCAGGAGATGATGCCGCGGCGGCAGCTGCAGACGAGACACACGCTCGGGACCGTCACATCGTCGTAGCGCGCTCGCGCCCGGCTCGTGTGTTGTGATGTAAAAAAATACACGACAAGATAAGTAAGTATAGGCACAAACACCTCACTTTTTCATTCAGTGCGTCCGTGCGCACAAACAACCGTGTACTATCGCGTGGACAATAATTGTCAATTGACGGACTCGTAGAAAAATATTACAGACGACGGGTATTTGTATATAAAAGTATAAACACAACACACGAATTGTTAAATATACGCCTAGGATATGGTGTGGGGCCTACATTGGGCGGCCATGTTGCGGGATTATTCCGGACGTCAATGCACACTATATGTGTGTGTAATACTGCACACACCATGGGAGCGCTCGTGGCGTCGCCTGCTGCTGTCTCCTCTTACCCTTGCAGTATATATTTATATGGTCCACTTACCCGGCCCCTGGCCCCCCTGCAACCTGAATGACACTATTGCGTGGGCGGCCCATAAAGAAGGATCCTGCAGGCCGACCGACGATTAGTTACCGACCGACCGATGGTAAGTTACTGACATCGGTAAGGTAGATAACTCTAGTGGATTTGCTGCAATTTTGTGAGCCCCCGACTCGCTTAGTTTTTTTTTTTGCTCCAGACTGAATTACTTAGTTAAGTAAATTAAAATTTGTTTATTTTATACGAAACGATACGCAATAAATCCCTTGCTCGTGTTGAAAATCGAGACAATATCGAAAACGTCGAAGCAATCGTAATTTAAAAAATTTTTGTCTTTCGATCTGCTTGGGTGCGACGTTTAAACTTCACGTCAATAGCATTGGCACGGTGAATTACAGTCAATTATGAAATAAAAAATTATCGTGTAAACCAGTACCTCTAAGCAGGATTAATTAAAAAAAAAAAAAAATTCTTGTTTCTTTTATAAATGCACTCTCTTAGACCCAAAAAACGATTTCGCGTGAAAAAAGGCAATCCCAGTTATAAGCTCGTAAACATGTAAATCAAAGTACCATTACTGCCCTATTGAAGCACTTTGCAGGGGAAGCAACGAAACAATGATGCGACAAGATACACGGTAATTGACGTTTTAATGGTGCATTCGACTTTTTGATTATACACAAGTGCTGTACCTCCTCGGAAGCACAACTACGACGTCATTGAATGAGACATTTTAGGCACTCGTGTGAAGTACATACATATATCCCTATACTTTGTGAAGTTAGAAATGTCATACTTTCCTCCGGGAAATCCGATAAATGCACAATATAATGTGCATACTGATTATAACTGGAAAAGTGGCTTTGCGTGTCGTCGCGCATTGCTCCGTATCGCTCGTCGGGATCAAAAAAACCCCAAGGCCAAAAGTAAGTAATACCTGTTCCATAAAACCTACCTCTATTGTGCCTCGAGGTAAAAAATGTGCAGAGGCAGAAATTTCTCAAGTTACTTTCCAAATAACGGAAAGAAATTCATCAAACAAGCTGATTCTTGATGAAAAATTTGCATCTATCGATATTTGAATTTTATTGGTTGACACGTAGGTACGGGAAAGTTTATTTGCCATTATTGGACATTAGATGTTTGAGCCTGCAATGGTAAGCACTAGTTCGGACCTCATGATATTTTTCATTTTAAACGCAAAGCTTGTTATTTCTCATCGTCCTACGAAAATAGTCTACAATTCGAGAGCCCCCCCCCCCCCCTTTGGTACGTGATTACTTCAACTTTTTCAGCAACCCCAAAAACAAGCCATTTGGGAGAAAACAGCACAACTTTAACCTAATTTTTGAATAAAATTGGAAGCAGCTTTTCGTGTGACAATCCAAGCAGCGCAGTTGGGAAAAAGCTCTCTCGTGTAACAATATACGTATATAGGTACAGCAAAAGGCATATATATATATATATGTTATAAACCGGTTGCACCCATGTATACGTATCAACAGCAAATGAGATTAACGTCGAGAAAAAGCGTCACGTTGCATCGAGCAGATAGCAACGAGGTACACACGGGGCCATCCCCACTCGAGTGTTTAATCGATACTATTTACGCAGTCAACAAGATAACCATTACCCATCACCATCAGAAAAGGCAGTGCGTATTATTCAACTTGTGTACATGATTGAAGCTTCCGGTAAAATGTACCGTACAGGTGTACCTGTAATGTCCGCCCCGTAATCGCGATCTCCTTAAACTCGCGCCTTTGCGCTATTACACCCATGTGCATATATATATACATATATATACATATAGCTCAGCCTTTTGTCTCGTGTACACCTTCCTCCCCTCTACACTCCTCCTCCGCGGGTCTCCGGTACAGAAGCAGCAGCCCAGCGCGAGATTCTTACCGGGATTATACGAATTAGCGCCACGGGCGCTGCAGGGGGTGGGTGTATATTATACGTGGCGTAGCGCGGCTTTTGTCGAAACAAACTGCAACGGCATGTAATCGTATAGCCGCATACGTGTGGGTGCGCTGCGTCGTGGGGTGTTGTCCACGGGGTACGTACATTTCGAGGGAAACGCGCCCCAGTGCGTGCGGTGGATGGGTATAATAATGCCTTGGCTCCCCTACACCCCTATAGTGTTAATTACCGCGATCTAGCTCATGTCTATGTGTTTTTTTCGTCTCTTCCTCCTTTTTTGTTTTTTCTTTTTTTTCTTTGCCCCTGCGTTTAGCTTTTGCCAAGTTTTCAGGTGTACCCAGCACGAAGAAAGTGGGTCGCGCAAAAGTACCAGCTAAAGGGTCGGGGGGGGGGGGGATGAAAAATGCCGCATTTTAAAAAGGCCCGTAAGAAAGAATTTTTTTTCACTTCTGCTAATTGTGCCCTTCCGTTTTACGAGGACTTTCGTTTCCGCCCGGTTCCCGATGTATATGTATGCTGTATATGGGTGAGCCGGTGCCGGTGGGCGCGCAGCGACGCTTTTTATCGTGATTTTTAATTTTCAAAGACGGCGATAATACACACTTTAACGAGGATTCGTTTAGGAGGTTCTCGGGCATGTAATTATACATAGATGGTCTCTCGTTTATGATACTCGAGTGCGCAAGGGAAGGGATGACGGTAGAAAGCGCGCGCTTGAAACCGCGAGGATTTACGCATATAAGTACACCTAAATAATCGCCATCACGTATATGTATACGCTCGCGGTCTCCTATTTTATCTCTACGTGTGTGTTATACCCATACTACACGAGAATATTACTTTGAGTAATTTAATTTCAAGGTATTTGGTTCGGTTGGCGATTTATCGATCGACGAGGAAAATATTTTAACTGCGCATATATAACGTATTGTGTGCTGGTATACAGCTTTGCTACGTTAGTCGACGTATGGGTTTGCGAGATCGTCCACGAGTGTTTTCTCAAGGTATTTCCCGATGAAAGTATACAACTTTTTTTTATGTCTCACGATAAAATATTTTTTACAAGTGTATAGGTATAATGGAGTAAAGGTGACAGAATAGATAGGCGCGTTAAACCGATCACTCCTGGGATGGACAGGTGTTTGCAGTACTTGATAAGAATTTTCTCATGTCTTGTGGTTGTGGGTATGAGTATATATTTATGTAATCGCAAAAACTTTGTCACGAGCTGATAAGAGTGAGCCAGAAAGTGAGGAAATCCTTTAGGGTGCGTGAGTGTACATGATATATGTATACGAGTGTACGAGCAGTTTTACAAAAATCATTCATTTGAGGAAAAAAATATTTTTTAAATTATCATCTGGAAGTGTTAACTTTTTTTCCCTTGTAGTTTTTTTCAGCAGCAGCTGGACACAAAAACCGCGAGACAAAGTGCAAAATGAACAAAATTCACAGAAGAAATTCATTGAGTCAAAGGATGACTCTTTTTCATCGACGTATTAACTTTCAAGGTTACATTTGATAGCCCAGTGAAATTTTCACCGTGATTTCTTCGTACGTTAGTGGCATACATTTTTGATTTTCTCTCCGTCACCTCGTACGGAATGGCTCGTGTATACGTGCGTGACCCGGTGACACACGCGTCACTGTATACTCTCGCGTGCGACAAATTGCGGCCTGTCGTCGCTGCGACCATCAGCTACCCGCACGATAAGTCAACCCACGAGAGACTTTTCTCACGTAGCCGAGCGAAAGGAGGAAAAGCCCCGGCAAAAGGTGGAGGACGAAAGACGAGGAGAAGGATCGCGTTAAAGAGTTTTTTGCCAATTTGGTGGGAGAGAGAGTCGAGTTATACACTTAACGAAGCACAGGGTGTGTGTATACGCAAGTTCGCGTCAAAGAAGAGGAGGAAGGGAAAGTTCGGGTAAATTGGTACGGTCAATACGAGCCGGCAAATCGCGCCTTCGATGAGCTACTCTCGTCATATATACTTACACACATTTCACGCTTCCACTTTTCTCGCTGTTTCAACTCTCTCCCTCCGCTCTATATGTACTATTTTCCCGAAGCTTCGCGTTTTAATTCTCCCTTAACAAGTTGTAGTCGAGTTAAGACCCTCCCAACTTTCTTTACGACTGTTTATACGGCCAAATTGGATGTTTGCCCTCTTTTGCTTTTGGCTTTTCCCGCGTACACCCCATACTCTTTTCCTCGCCTACCTGGATACTACCTTTATACACACTCACGGCTTTATTAATTTATCAACGCAGCCTCCCCTTACCCCTTTAAAATTTTGACTTTTGTAAAAAGAAAGCAAAAGACATCCAAGCGTTTCCACGCGTGGGACCTCGCATATCGCAGTTTATTCGAATATCTAGTCACGGCAAATTACAAAAGCCGACCCCTGAAAGGTCGCCTTGGAGGATTAGTATGAGCAGCGTATATTACGATACACAGAGACGCCCACGGCTTATCTTATCATGAAGGGATTTTCGAATTTATATACGTTCGGAGGGTGTATGTATTTATATCGGGGGACCGCGCACGCGAGAGGCCAACCAAGGCGGTACACGAGTATAAAGATCATCGGGACGACTCGGGGTCCACTGTGATATTCCGTGGCGGGAGATGGACGTGATTCATTCCGGGCCTCGTACCGATCGATCGGTGCCTCGTTTGTTCGGTTTTCCGAGGCGCGCCTCTCCGTCCCGTACACCCGTATAATATATATATACGCGCGTGGAGGGGGTCGCGCGGGTTTTGAGGTTTCATTCGTCCCCCGGGAAATCAGGGTCGGGTTTTATTTGCTCGCACTGCTTCCTCCGAACGGGATTTCTTTTTTTTCTTCCATTTCTTTCTTTCTTGCCGAGGAATCGGGGGCGGGAGGCTGCGAGCTGTTATTGCGTACACACAATGTTATTTATCGGTCGAGGGGACGCTTTCGAAAGATGGGGAGGATTTTTTTCGGGCGTGTCTGCGTTATTAAGCCAAATCAACTTTACCACCCGCCTCGTGAAGTTAAAAGCGTAGGTAGAATCGCCAGCTGTTTAAACGTACACCCATACGTTGAGCCATTTTTCACCAAAAGTGCCATTTTGGGTGCCCGACAATCTTGTAGATTTTTAAAGTAACGTCGTTTTGTTTGCCTTTGAAATGAAATTTCGGCTCTTTCCAGACAAACAAGGGAAGGTGAAATTATTACGCGAATGTCTCATTTCGGTCGCTTTGACGCTCCCTTCCATGGCCCGTTACATGCGCCTCGGCGATTTAGACCACCACCCGTATCGAGCTCGAGGTGCCAGCCGCAATGTGCACACGCGTCGTGTACACGCGAAAACACACGCTCGTACATAGAGAAATATAGAGCGCAAAGGATAACCAGACGGAGAGTATAGCCCGTCTTTCGACGCGTTTCGCAAAACTCGCGGAGAGAATTCATTGCTCCAGAGAATGTGAATTACCGTCGTAGCAGCTTGCGTGGGTGCGGCTGTCCCTTTTTTTACCCTCGTCTCCTCTCCCAAGCCCCCACTTTTGCCTCGTCCCCATTTTTCTTCTCAACTTTGATAAATCGTTGTTTCGTCCGCTTTTGCTCTATCGGCCGATTGCCCTCGTCGTTAACTAATCGGAGACGCCCCCCCCCCTTATTGTTATCATCATGTGTACCATTACAACTTACAGTCTAAATCAAACTAGCGGCTTACAGGACTATGCTCCTGATTTATCGAGCATCTTATTACCGAAACTACTAACGAAAAAAAAAAGGAAAAAGGTGGAAATTACAGTGTACATGACGCGTGTATCAAGTCAGCGAAGCAGGGAGGTCTTCTTCGTTCGCGCAGTTGGCGGCATTGTCAACGCTCGCACAACCCCCGCCGACCGTGTGTATTATAGGCAGCGCGTGTCAGGCTGTAGTAGAGGGTTGGGGGGGTGCGCGCTTCGGGATCGATGCCCTGCTCTCTCTCTTTAAATACATGTGTGTGTGTGTATATATGTTACCCTGCGAGGCCGTGCACGAGTGTGAGTGCTGATGTTGCCTGTCCCTCGCGCGTGGTGACGTCACGTGATATTGCATAATGCGAGCGAAGGGACCGAGAAGCTGACAAGCCGCAGGAGCTCACCCCCTACCCCCGTTGATGCCATACTCCACCTTACGCGTATGGTACGTATGCGTGCAGTGAAGAAATACGTTGTTGAGGCTTTTTTTTTTCGACCATTTTCAGATTTTGGGAAGGTTTTCGATTTTCCCCCCAAGAAGACCGATTGCGACGTCAAAAGGATGTTTCAGGTGTGACACCACGGACTACAATGCGCGCACGAGTGTACGCGTGTTTTCGACGTGACGTATACGAAAAATCGAAAAACTTGCCTGAACATTATATTTATATAAATATGCGTATGGCGTGGGGGATGATGTTTAAATGAAGCTATCAATGCCCGCCCTCCCCTGATTTGCATTTTTATTAAAAAATAACCGTCCGAGTGGTGCGGCAATCTCGAATTCATAATATTCACTTGTAAGCGTGTCGGATCGATTTCTCGACGCACCGAGGGCACGCGAATTTTTCCTTTGTAGCTTGCAAGCGATATTTTTTTAAAACAATTTTTTACGAAAATGCGATTCAAAAACTTGGAGTTGGATATTGTCCGTTTTACTATGTACAGTCGTGTGAATTATGATGATGGCATATTTCCGGTGAACCGTAAAATTTAGACAAAGACCATAACAAATCGGATGATTGATTACGTCACGTTGATTCCGCTGAAAATAAACTTTGGCCGAGAGCATCGAGCCGATGAATTAATGCTCGTCATAATTGACAATTTTAGCTTTTAATGCGTAGTGGTTATTGAAGGCACGTCACGCGAATGTTCCCTCAATTGACGTAAGTACAAAATTTCACGGATTAGCTAACACGAATCGCTCGCTCGTCCGCTTTAATTCAATTGAATAAGTAATTGCGGTACTACGGGCTTTACGGCAATTTTTCAATCGCGCCAAATGACGAGCCGCGTCACGTGTATGTTTGTAATGCCAGATGCATCTTTTTTTCATGAATTTCACGTATAATTATATGAATAATGATTGCACGAATTTCAATTCACGTATACCGCGTGTACAATCGTTTCTCGTCACGGAGAATTTAATTTGTCCACGGGTGTAACGTTACTCAGTGCAGAATTTATTAAATCGTCGAAAAGTAAAAATAAATGTATTTTTTAAATTCAATTTTGCCGTAAATGTAGAGCTTTGGAGCCACTAGTAGTCGAGGAATTCAGACGCAAATTTGCGACTCGTCTCGAGTGTTATCTCGGTCTAGACGCCACCGAAAGCGCTGCGCATTCTAGCCATTTTCTCACTTTTCCAGCCAAAACAACGAAACGCAAGGTTGGATCACTTAATTTTCCAACCCCCGGTTTAATTAACTTTAATTTCGAATAGAAAACCCCTTTTGTTTCTCTGAGAAGTTTTTAACCACCCGAGTCAAACAATCTTGAAATTTGTAATAAAGGGCTGGCCTACCCAATTACAGATGTAGACATTGATGCGCCTCCCCGTTTCTATGGCCACCCCTGCAAGGATTTGGCCAGTGTCTTTGAACGCTGTAACAAAAAAAAAAAAAAAAAAAAAAAAAAAAAAAAAAAAAAAAGGAGAGAGAAGGAAAAACACGTGTTCAAAGTTAATAGGGTCGGGCAGACTCTTGGTCGGCGGAGCGTCGTGTGTATAGTAGCAGCGCGTGCGCAAAGTGAGAACTCGGCCTCGTGCCAACTTACACCGGGACGTAATGCTTTATCAAATTTCATTATATCGCACGGCTAAAAATGGCCATCCAAAAAATTTTCTCCACACAGTGTAATTGGAACTTGATACAAAAATAAATTTTCCTGTATGAAAATGCAAAAATTTTACGTAGCAGCACTTGAAATTTCGCGCGCAACGGACGCCTCCATGAGGTTTCTCTTTTATCCGTGGCCGAGTGGCAGTCGGTGCACAGCAGCTGTCGTATAGGGTCGTACTCGGCACTGCCCCGTCCCTCGAAGGAAATAAAAAGTCCTTGGAAAAAATAAAAATGAGCAAAAACACGAAGCTTTTGGAAAGCGTGAGTAAATACTTCACCGAAGAGACTCTTCGCGAGATCGTGGCAAACGCGTACGGGGTGGAGAAAAACACCGAAAACATCAAAGTGTCGTCGTGGGATTTCGGCCACGCCAGCAAACGGGGCGACAGTTACCTGTCCACGGTCGACAGGATCGCCATCCGGAGCAAAGTGAATGGTGCTGCGAAGGAGTTGAAAGTAGTGGTAAAGTCCTTGCCGAACAACATCGGCAGGCGAAAAACCTATCGGAGCGCCGATTTTTTTCGCAACGAGATCGTCTTTTACTCCGAGGTAAGTTATACGCCACACCGTAATCCATTAGCGTGCCCCCTCTTATTGGACGGCTTAGTGAAATTACTGGCTTCATTGGCTGAATTTCAAATGAGTAGCCGAGTTTCGATAAAATCGGGCACGTGACGTGACTCGGAAGCAGCTCTCAAACAAACTGCTCGAACCCTTAATTCCCCGCCCAGGTTTTAAATACACGTATAATGCAATTTTAAGGACTCGCGGATGAATCCGGATGGTAATCTAAAGCCCAAGCGTTTCCAAAGTACAAGGCAATAACACCTTCCCTTTCAGATAGCTCCAAAGTTCCAAGAGTTTTTAAAATCCAAGGAGCAGTCCTCGCTGCTCCTCCTGCCGAGTTGCCTGGCCTTCCATCTCGACGGGGATAACGACTTTATCGTCCTGGAGGACATGTGCCCCCGAGGCTTTGGTCCAGCGGCTCGGCAGAACTGCCTCACCTTCGACGAGTGCACCTGCATCCTCGAAGCCATGGCTCGCTTCCACGGCGTATCCTTCGCCTACCGGGACCAGCACCGGGAGGACTTTGAGAGGATCGCCTCGAGACTTACCGAGACGTACTTTACCGAGCACCTCTACGAGACTTGGTACGAGAGATTCTTCGTGAGTGACGATTATTGTTTCGAGTACATTTCTCGCTTGGTCCCTCGATTCCCAATGCATCGTTATTCGCCAGATCAAAGTGACCGACATCGCCAAAGACGCCCTGGCCAAGGAGTACCCCGACAGCGAGGCTCAGCGGAGGTTCGGCTCGTACGGGGTGGCTGAGCTGTACAAAAAGTGCGTGGACTTTTGCTCGCGCACCACCAGCCCGACCTCGGTCGTCAACCAGGGCGACTCGTGGGCGCCGAATTTCCTCACTCGCACCTGCAACCCCGAGGGCTACATGGAGGTCCTCATGCTCGACTTTCAATTGGCGAGGTGCTGCAGTCCCGTGCTCGACGTCTCGTTTCTCGTCTACTCGTGCACCGATCAGAAGCTCAGGGACGCCCGGTTCGACGACCTGTTGAGAAACTACCACAGAGAGCTCGCCCGGGCCATCGAGGCTCTGGGCTCCGACCCCGGGAAAATTTACCCGTGGGAGTCGTTCGCTCGAGAGGTGCGTCAAACATCCAGGATTGGGTATTTTTCAACCTTCAATAGGTACTTGAAAAAAAAAAAAAAAAATGACGATTTTTAGGTCGACGAGCAGTTTGTGCACGGGATGGTCTTTGGGTTGGAGTCCGTGACGTTCAGCACCCTGTCGGACGAGGAGTCCTTCGACCTGGACATCATCAAGGAGGACAGGGTGGACATCGCTGACGTGTGGACGGTGAAAAATAAGGAGACGGCCGAAAGTAGGCGTCGGCTGGCAGATATCATTGTGCACGCCACGGATCGGGGTTTTTTGTGAAAACAGTATGAATCGACGGTGTGTGGAAAAAAATGAGGTAACCGTCAAAAGGTCATTGATCATCCGCCGAGGGGCTTTAGCAACGTGTTGGATTAATTACTCCGAGCTGTTGCCGTTTACGGAGGGCTTGGAAAGGGAAGGTGGCAAGAACCAGGTCAGACGGGGGGGTCGCAATATTCAGATCCTCCCGTCTTCTTCCTCCCTCCTTCGCTCGGGGAGCCGAGAGAAAGGCCATTACACCAGTGCGGGGCCATTGCTGTTTCTCAGTTTCGAGAATATGTGGCTTATTACTGCTGAAATATGCGCTCGAGTGTTTCTTTAATTTTATTTTTCATTTCAGCTGAATTACGCTCTAGATAATTTTTAATTGTGATTTATACGCAAGAGACGTGGTATCGGAATTGCTTTTTAACGATTCCCGTTGTTGGTCCACGAGATAAAACTTGTAAGTGCAATCGGATCATTAGTCAAAAAATAAAATGCATACGATTATAACTGTTTTTGTTTCATTTCTTGCGCCAAAAATCCTTCTCATGCTGTATCGTACACGATAAAGCGATTAAAAAATTTTTTTTGCTCGAGCTTTAGGTGTTCCCACATTATTTTCAAGTTTGCGTAATTGTTATCCGATTGGAAGAGGAGGTGGCGAGTTTTTATTCATCTCAGGGTTTTTCGGGCACGACAGGCCGACTTTTTTTCATTTAATCAGTCGAAGCCGGTCGATAATAACCGATTTGCCTAATTTCATTATCGGTATTTTTTCGTAAAGACTTTTCTCGCTCTTTCGGGGACCGAACATTAAATACCTTAATGCGCGCAGGTGTGGAATTTATACAATCTGATGGAAATCGGATGCATCCGATGATTGGGCAAAGTATCATACAGGACGGATCTTGGAAAGTTGGCACACGAGGTAAACGTGCGCGGTATTTGCGAGTTACACTTAGTTTGCATTGACTTTTTGACAATAAAACGATGTTTACTCATTTCACGGAAAATACGAACTCTTACGGTATGAAAACGACGAATGCCATTGCCCCGATCAATCGGAATGATTTTACATCCGGTGTCAGAGGGCATTTCTGCCTCGGGCTATTTGATCCATTCGCCAAACATTCAATCGGCTCACTGGAATTAAAAATAATCATTTTCGATGATTTTTGTTTAATTTTTCCAGTGACGTATGCCTGGCATTTATTTTACACATTCCCAAAATAACCAAACAACATTACGTACAGCTGCACATAAAAGCTACAGTGCGAGTTTTCACCGCCAGTTTACGTGAGCTATTTTAAAACAATTTCTCCGTACCGAACAATACTCGTCTAATTTTATCCGACTCTATCATACCAATCTTCGACATACCCATATGGCTCATATTTTCCCGATAAATCGAGCGTAACAGCATATAATCTTTGAAAAATAACCTCATCCCATATTAATACCGCAACTCCACGAATAAACCAGAACAGTTGAACAGAGAGGGAATGAAATTTTCGAGCTAGGATATTCCCACTTAAGCCAGCACTGGATCCTTAACGCGGGGCTAATTCCGCAATGGAAAATTGTCGCCTGTCGTTGAACGCTGTATATACCTTTACTACATGCATTGCCACGCAAGAGAGAGAATCCGCAGGAGCCCCGAACAACCAAGTAGTTTATACCCCTACGTGCACATACACATATACGTAGTGTGCACACGGACGCAAATTGAGGATTAGGTAGAGTTGCCTCTCTTGCGGGACATATACGCACGAATACTGTGCGAGAAGGAGGAGGCACACTGAGGCTCCGTGCTCCTGTTGGGTTTGACGAAATATGGCACACGCTCCCTTGCGCTCACGGAAGCTTTTATGTTGCGAACGAGATTATGCTGTCGCTGATGCTGACTTACCCCCACCACCCTCGTCTTCCTCCTCCCAACCCCTGTATTTCCTTCTTTGGGGGCTCCGACAGGGCTGATTCACGCTACAAATGAAAAAAATCTTCATTTTCAAATTGTCCCGTCACTTTGGTCGTGCTCGAGCATATAAGCTATACCAATAAAATTCCCCATTCAATTTGATAATCTAAACTCTGACCTGCCACACTTGTTTCCATCAGGAGTTTTGGTAAAAGCGCTACAGCCTATTATTTGGTTACAGCTTTATCGGAGCTCGGGTGTAACTACCCGCGTGAGCTGAAAATCTCCAAGTTACCGATCCTACTACCAAAAACACGATCTCTCGTTTCGTCCCACATTTAAAAGGGGGAAAATCTGCGTCCAGGTGGACCGAAAACAGGGGTGTAAAATAAATCAGATCGATGGTACTTTGGCACCTCTTGTACGTACAATACAATGCATTGCGCTTACGCAACGCGACAGTAGCAGCTATAGGACGACAATGCTGAATACAAGATTAGTGCAGTTCTCGCCTAATGGGAACAGTGTCTACCCTACTCCCTTGCCCCCCTTCCAAAGAGCTCATCCCTATTCTCTCTCCCTTTCGGTTTCTACATGTATATGTAGGGGCGCCCAACGCAAAGGTAAATAGATTCGGGCGTTCACGTTTGCCCGAGGGTCGAGTGATTCGCCAATTTAGCGAGGGAGACCCTCCCCCCCCCCTCCGGCATAGCCGGTCCCGAAAACGATTTCGCCTCGCTCGCTAAGAGTGGATACCCCCTTGGACCAAGAATTTGACTATCATCCGATTTTCGATCCCATTTGCAACTCGCTTCCTCTCTCCCCCTGCCCCGCGAGCTCGGCTGTCTTTTTTCCTTTTTCTTTTTATCGTCCGTGTACGGTAGAATGAACGTAACTGCCTCTTGAGGCTACCCCCCCCCTTTGCCAGGGGGCGTTTCTTCGTGTGACTGGGTGTGTGTGCGGATAAGGTTTTTGACGCTACGATGATTTTATCGAATCTTCCTTGCGTCAACAGAGTTGAGTGTTGATGAAAAAAAAAAAAATAGTAATCCTTCTATTGATTGCAAAGTGCGAAAAGACAGCCCGTCTCGATGAGGGGGAAAAGATAAATTTTCCCGTAACTCCGTATATCCGAGTCCATTTGCATTCTTCGTCGATCGTGTTCTACTTTTAGCAGCAGCTCGACAATGAGACAGTGTAGCGTTTGGATGGGAAACTTTTGACCCGGTGACGGAGCAATTGAATTTTATTATATCGCGCGGCAGCCAAGGAGCTGGAAGTAACGCGGAGGAAGCTCTACAAGGGACAGACGTATATTTATTGTTCCTATAGGTATACAGATATTATACAGAGAAATTACATTTTTTTTCCCTTGCGAGTAATATGTATCTGTTTTATTGGGCCAATGAAATTTTACGTAGCAACTCGATGGCTCTTAAGATGCGTCTTTTTGCGAGCACTGGGCCATTTTATGAAAAAGTTTCCACCTCATTTGCGTACCGTGATAATATTGTATCGAGGATTGATTTCGCACACGTGACTGTTTGCGAGTGAGAGGACATCGTCGTAACGAATTTCAATGGCAAACATTACAAGCTGCAAATAAATAATTGCCACGAGAGGGAGAAGGAGCCCCGAGGGTTGTAAACAAACGGTGATGAGCCAATAATGTCCGAATAATAGAGGCCGTGAAAAAGCGCCAAAGAAAATTACACGGGCGACGCGTCTCTCCCTTTTTCCCAGTAGACGATGATGCTCGCGCCCTCGGCTAACTAGCTGTTAGAAAAGGGGAAAAAGAAAATACATCACCTCCTCTCGCCTGTAAAATGCATAAAATGTTTACACATGTATACTTCGCAAAGGGCCACCCGCATTTATTTTTTTTTTCTTCCCTTCGACTCGCGCTAGCTGCAGCCCCATCCTCCATCCTCCTCCCTACTTTACGTTCGTTTTATATTTCCCCCGAGCACCGGGCGAATTGCCTTTTAAAAATGCCCATTAGAGCTCGTAAGCCGTTGATATTGAATAAAAAGAGGCCTCGTTACCGCCCCGGAGCCGATTAAGCCAAAGTAACTATTACACTGTCTTTTTTATACCACCGCCGTGATCGTCCCGTCGGATAAATTTCAATTATTAATATAACAAGCCCTCGTTTCCAACGTGGATCCATCAAACGGTTTTACGAGGTATACATACAGCAATGTAGAGTCGAGGCACCTAATACGTAACGCGTCGTTGTCGCCCTCTTGTTTTCTCACGTTCATTTTTCCTCCCCCTTCCTCCCTCGTTCGATGCAGCATCTCATTTCTCGATACCTCCTCGCGAGGGGGTGGATTTCGAAATTTTATTAGATAGATTTTCCCGCGAGCGCGCTTCGGATCGGTTTTCACTGGCGGTGCAGCCGCCTCCTTATACCGGGTGAAGAAAAGAGGCGGAAGTGGTGTGTGTGGGTGGGGGGGAATAAGCCAATATCCCGGGGCTTGGAAGGCTTAAGCCCCTGATCCTACCCTTTTGTACTCGTGAAATTTAAATAATAAAGTGCTGTACATGCACTTCTTCTCCCTCATCAGACTCCCTCTTCATATCTGGACTCCTTATATCTTCCCTTCGTCTTATTACCTTTTCTTTTTCTTTCTTTTTTTTTTCTTCCCTCGTCCTCTCGCGCTCATCCGACTCTATTGATTCGTGCCCCGGCAGCCGACCGATCGGAAGTCCGCTGGCATAACTCGGCACCAGACCCATTCAGCTCGAGGATATTAGTTGTCAAAGGCTCCTTTAGGAGTGGTATTTTTTTTTCATATAGATTTCGTGGGATGCCTTCGTTAGCCAAGAAATAAGGACGAGACGACTCGGGTGGCTAGAGCAAATATAATCATTATCCTGCGTCGGCAGCTTGGAGGGGGAGAAAAAAGGCTGGGCAAAAAAAGGAAAAAAAAAAACAATTCAGCAATTATCGGCGTGCAGGGCTGCCTATAAGTCAGCGGCAGCAGTCGGCCTGGTTGCGCGCTTCATTTGGCAGGGAGCCAGAAAAATGGCAAAAGCGGCCGCAATTCCGTCGGGTCAACAAATCGTTACGGCCAATTGGCAAATTGTCGTCTCCCCCCCCTTTTTTTTCCTCACCCCCCGCGACCCTCTTGGCCTACATGCGACACGACCGAGATACGCCCACCGCTCCCTCGTTTACACGTACACAGGTAAACACACTCTCTGTGGGCTCTCCTTTTGCTTTTTTCGCGAAAGATTCGCCGTGCATGGTCGTTTAGCCGTTTAAGATGGGAGGGAGGCTGTACATTTAGCTGCTTACCCTTTCATTTTTCATCGTCCGCACACGTCGTTGGTGATGGGACGGTGAGAAAAATTTTCCTCTGTAACTTTAACTATATCCGTGCGTGTGTGTAATAAAGTAATCTCATTCCAGCCATCACGTACAACAACATACAGGGATGAAGTAATTGTGGATACGGACACAAAAAATGAACA